AAGACGAAGGACTCGCTGCTCGTCCTCCTACAATTAAATATTCAAAAAAATTATCACAATCATAAAATAATATTCAAATATTTATTAATTATAATTCATTAAACAAATATTTTATTCACCATTATTCCCAAATGACTTGAAATATGTTCATTGTCAAGCCTCAACAGTGGAATTTGGTCAGCCATTGGAATGAATCTGTAAAAAAATTAAACAACAATATTTAAAAAATCATTTAATATAATCTAATATAAACTAACTAACTAATTTACAACACTAAACTTTAATATAATAACTTATAATATAATAAACTAATAAACTAACAAACCCTAAACCCTTAAACAACTAATAAAATATTTTTTTATATAACTAAAACTAACTAATAAACTATTTTTTTCATTATAATATACTACTAATAAACTTACTAACTAATTTTTTATATAATATATATTCAATAAACAAATATAACTTAACTATTTAACTAACACAAACTAATTAAATAATTTTTTTTATATAACTAACTATTAACAAAACAAACTAATTAATTATTTTTTAACTATATAACTATCAAACATATACTAATTAAATAATTTTTAATTTATGTATACTATAACTTAAACTAACAATCATATAACCCTAAACTAATAAACTAATTAACATTTATAATAATAAACTAATTTAAATATAAAAAAATTTACCTTATCTCCCTTTCTTCTTCTTACTTTCCTTTCTCCCTTTCTTTCTTTCTCGGCTGCAATCTCTTCTCCCTTTCTTTCTTTCTTTTATGTTAGATCTTTCTTTTATGTTCTTGCGATTTGCACACCCCATATATAACCGGCTGCCTCAATTATTTCACCAACAGCAATGGTTCAATTATTGTACCAATCACGACTCAAATGGTTCACATGCATGCATCAATAGCTGTAGGCATGCAGCGGGGAGCAGGAGGGGAGCACGTGAAGGAATCTTGGCTGCAAGTGCATGCATGGTCTCGTGATCTAGGAGCGACCTAAGGTCGCCGGGACAGCGGGGAGCAGGAGGGGAGCACGTGAAGGAATCTTGGCTGCAAGTGCATGCATGGTCTCGTGAGCTAGGAGACCTAAGGTCGCCGGGACTACATGGCGACCTACAAGGTCGCCGGGACTGCATGGCGACCTACAAGGTCGCCCAGACTGCATGGCGACCTCTCGATTGGCTGGCTCGTCTGCATGGCGACCTCTCCTCGTATAAGACTGCATGGCGACCTCTCCATTGGCTCGTATGGCTCGTATATGCCTTGTATGGCTCGTATGTCACCCCGTATGGCTCGTATGTCACCCCGTATGTCACCTGGATTGCATGGCGTCCTACAAGATCGCCTGGATTGCATGGCGTCCTACGAGATCACTGTAGAATTCACCCCATTTCAGCAATTAATCTGGGATGTGCATTATATCGTGAATAAAAAAGTTCGAGAACATTATCTCGTGAATTTACCCGCGGTTAATACTTAAATAGTCCCATCACTTTGAAAATGATTTCTTTATCGTCCTATAAATGGGCCTACAAAGAGAAACGACAAACAAAATGTCAATAAAATTAAAGATCCAACAACAAAGGCCCAAGGCACAAGAGTAGGCTTATACCATTCACAAAAGAGTGGAAGAAGTAATCAACAATGAGTTAATTTAGTAGGAGGATCCAATTTTGTTTTATAAGCCAAGTAAATTGGATTAGAAGATGGTAAAATACACTAATAGTCCCCAAACTATAGGTACGACTTTGTTAAGTCCATTAACTATTAAAAGTTATAAAACGGTCCACAGACTATAGAGTATTGCTTTGTTGAGTCTCTCGACTATTAAAAGTTACAGAATGATCACCCAACTATTCATTATATTTCAAACTCGTCATTTTTCGTTAAAAAGTTGACGATATTCTGAGCTGAATATTAAGTTGGTGACTGTGATATGGTAAAATTTGATCATAGAATCTCAAACGACTATCATATCTCAGTCATCATGTTAACGTTCTCCTTAGAATACCGTCAGTTTTTTAACAAAAATGACGAGTTTGGAACATTATGAATAGTCATGTGACCATTTTGTAACTTTTAATAGTTGATGGACTTAATACAATAACATTTTATAGTCAGAATATCATTTTATAACTTTTGATAATAGAATTACTTAATAAAATAATATCGTATAATCAATAGACTATTTGCGTACTTTACCCATTAAAAAATTGTTTACAGAAATGAGTTTATATAATATCTTATCCATGAATAAGATATTAATAATTAAATAATGACAGAAAAAGTAACATGAATAAAAAGAAAGTTAAGTAACAAAATATTAACAGTTTATTTATAATTTGGTATTTGATTTATTGATAAGTAATGTAAACTGAATACTAACATATTTCTTTATAAGAATGATTATTCTGATTTAATTTTCTCCACTCCTAACCTTTATTTTATAATTAGAAAAGATGATAAATTTCAAACTCTAAATAAAAAGTATCAAATTCACCTAATTACTAAAATAACAAAACTATCGTAAAATTGATTGGGTTGAGAAGATCATCTTTATCTCTACAGTACCCGATTCAGATTAATCGATTCAATCCAATTTCAGTAACTATATGTAGAATAGTTCAAAACTCGAAGCTGTCTGTCAAATCTGGCCAGCTCCTTACATCTATTTCGTTCATTTTCCGTGTAGCTTGAAATTAAGAGGCAACTTCTATCTGGTGTAGGTTGTAAATGACGAGTTTCTTTGTTAGTTTTGAGAAGATAAAACAAAACTAGAATTGAAAGAGTAAACCGCAATTAGATACATGAAATTTCAATGCAAGTTCTTTATCAGGTAAAAGCCATATATCCAATAAAAAACAAAAATAAAAATATTTGCACGAACCAAATTACCTCAATATTTAAAGGTGTATTAAAAAATTCATGACTTGGTTGACCCAACATGCCGGCTCGTCAACCCAGTTAGAAAATATCGGGTATTTGTAATGAAAATACCCGATTTTTCGGACGGTATCTCGCCCGCTATTTTTTTAGGTTTTTAAGGTTCGGGTCACAACATGTTGCTTAACCGGTTACCCACTAACCTGAAACCCGATTTCTTATATATATATATATATTATTAAATTTTTTATTCATAATTATCAAATTATTTCACTATAATATTTTAAATCTCTAATTTCTTAAATTTTGCCACAACAACATTATAATGAAGACCGAGGTGGATAATTTGCGTTGCGTTACTTTGTCCTTCCCTTCCCTATAAGCTACCATTTAAATCTGAACACCGAGGTGGATAATTTGGAAAATTTGCATTGAACTCCTTTAACTTTTAAAATAATTTCAACAAGGTGCCCTAAATTCATATAAAACAAAATCTTGTAATTATTTAAATTTGCGTATAACGAGTCAAGCTCACGCCATACGTGCATTCACAAACTTTACGCGAATGTATCTTTATGAAGATTTGATTCTTCAGTGCAATTTGCCATGGAAAATCCATAACAGACCAAATCGTGTAATTATTATAATTTTCTGGGCAGAGAAAAAGGAGCGGCAGACGTGAGATTCCTTGTCGAGAAAGGCAATTGTTGATAAGGAAATAAAAATGAAAGTTCCTTGTGGAAGAAAGAAGGTCGAGTCTCTGAATAATTAAGAGAGTGCAGTGGCCACTACGCCACAAGCTTCAGGTTTTATATTCATAATCTTATGGATATGTTTTAATAATTTGATCCCAAATCCAGGATGGTTAGGGACAGTGTAATCTCACATGTGTCCTTGTTCTTGGTGCCATAAGAAAGTGGGAGTTTTCTTACTTGCAATTTGCAAGCCATTTAATTTTGGTTTAAGGGTTTAGGATATAAATTTTTTGTTATTGTAGGTAATTCGATTTATCATTTTTGTTCTTATGTTTTTTTTGTATAAATTTAACCTTCGAAGTTGTTTGGGGGCATAAACCTAGCTCTCGAAGTATGTTAATTATTTTAGCTAACAGAATTGTGAGTCTTCTGCATTTGTCGATTAAGGGATTAAATTAATATATTTACTAAACACAACAATTAGGAAAATAACTCAAAATTTTATTATTTATTTCAAACATAGTATGATTCTCTCAAAATATTTTGGATTTGAACAATTTTTTTTATGTGAAGTGCGTGTGCATTATCAATTAAAAAATTATGAAGATATATTATTTTATATTCATCTCAAATTATTTAATAATTAATTACCTTTAATCACTTTCTAAAATTAGTGAAATTAAATTTTAAAAAATAAATTTATAAAATTAAAATGGATGTAATAGATTTGTGGTAAAAATATATCATATGTCTCTGTAATTTTAAAAAAATCAATGTGACTCTCGTATTATTTTTTCTTTCAATGTGACCCCCAACTCAAAAAATAAACCAATGTTTTCTTTTGAAAAACATTTTTCGTTATATGACTATTACGATACTAATGTGGTAGTTTTCGATGCTGGCATGATAATTTACGGTACTGATGTGATAATACATCTGTTATATTTGAATTACCAATTTAATTTATTTGTCATGTTATTTATCAAGTTATCAATCACCGTAGACTATCACATGAACATAGTGAACTGTCATATCAAAACTGTAATATCAGAACTGTGATAATTAACAAAAAAATATTGATCAAAGATCGCAATAAATTTATTTTTTAAATTAAAAAATCACATTAAAAAATAATAAGACAATCACGTTAATTTTATTTTTTAAAATGCACCGGCCTCTAATATTCTTTTTCATATATTTTTTTTTACAGACTTGTTAAAGTCAAACTAAAAAGAAGCTAAGAAAGCTTCCTACAGGCTGGATCAATCGCACCAAAAAGAAGCGTTGACCATAAATTACAATAATAGCCCTATTAGACTATATCTAAAAAAGCCGACACAGGAAGCATTAAAAAAATGGTCAAAAAAACAATAGACACCAAACTTCTCCGAAACAGAGGCTGTGTTCTGCAAGAATCAAAGCCGACCGCCAATAAAAGTCGTGTTCCTCTGCCGTCACTCGATGGTAAAACATAACCCAACCCCAATCCACTTTCCAAGAAAACCCTCCTCCTCCTCCTCCTCCTTCTTCAGCCTGTATAAATAACCAACAGGCGATTCGCTTTATTCAAAACAGCCCAACCCACAACAAAAAGCTTTCTTTTACGGAATCACAAGGATATTTGTTTTTCTAATGGCTGGTGTTGGTAAAGCGGTTCCGGAATTCCAGGACCTGTTGCCGGTGATGGCGGAGAGGCTTGGCGGAGAAGGGCTGATGAGGGAGCTGTGTAACGGGTTCCAACTGTTGATGGACAAGGAGAAAGGGGTGATCACGGTGGAGAGCTTGAAGAGTAACGCGGCGGTGCTGGGGTTGCAGGATTTGAGACACGATGAGCTCGTCAGCATGGTGGAAGAAGGCGACACCGACGGCGACGGAGCCCTCAGTGAGATGGAGTTCTGCGTGTTGATGTTCAGATTAAGCCCTGAATTGATGCAAGAGTCGCAGTTATTGCTGGAGGAGTTTCTTCAAGAAGAGCTCAAATCCGCTGCCTTCTATTAGGATTTTCTCTTCTCCCTCTTTTTCTTTCTGATTTATTATCAATAATAATTCATTGCAATGTCATCTATTGATTTTAATATATCTTATTTAAATTTTCCCCTTTCGTTTTTTAATCTTTAATCGGATTTAAATTTATTGGAATTCGTAATTTTAAAATTTTAATAATTTAATTAAATCTTAACTAATAAGAACACTTAAGTCCCATTAAAATAAAGAATAAACCATTTGGAATAAAACTGTTTGATAACATTATTTTTGCAATTTAAATGATTTGTATTATTGAGTTATTCGATTATTTAAAATTATAAAATGATTGTTTGATTATAGATGTATTTTGTTGAGTCTTCCGACTATTAATAGTTTTATAATAGTCACCCAACTATTCATGAGTTATAACTTTATTATTTTTTTGTTAAAATTTTACTGTTGTTTAAGTTGAACGTTAACAAGTAATTAAGATATGATAAAATATTTTCAATAAAACACTAAACAACTTCGAAGGTTAAATTTGCTATCACGTGTTTAGTGTTTTATTGAAATATTTCTTTCCAAATTTAAAATTGTCAAAATTTTAGTATTCAACACTCACATTAAATCAATTTGATAGCAAATTATTTAATTTTTATTATTGAATATTGACTTTTGTTTTAAGCTTTTTGGTCATAATTTTTTTAAGTGTAATTTGACTCTTAATTTTGACTTTGATCTACAACTTAATTCTTAGTTTTTTTATAATTTTAAAATAAGGATTAAAAATTTTGTTTATAAAATAAAAACATTTTAAGAGTTAAGATTTACATTTCAATAAATTTAATACATTCAAATATTTAATTTAAGTATAAATTCAGGAGACAAATTACAAATAAGAGTCTAATGCCAAATTAAAGATAAAAGCTAAAGTCAGGGACTAAAAGATACATTAACCCAAAAGATTCGACAAATTGGTATCCCGTTACATAGAGGTGGCAAACGAGTCATTCGGATCGGATTTTGGGTCGGGCCATTTTCGGGTGGGTAATTTCCGATCTAAGATTAAATTCGATTTAATTTTGTTCAGATCGGATTGGATCTAGTTCAGGTGAACGATGAATCGGATTGGGTTGGGTGATTATTGGATCGACTATTTTCCGGTTTGGATCAATATCAGATCAATTGATTTTTCGATCGAGTCAATATCGGGTCGGGTCAATACCAGGTCGGTTGATTTTTGGGTCAGGTTAATCTAAATCAGTTAGATTTTGGGTCGGATCAATATCAAATCGGTTGATTTTTGATTTAGGTTAACTTTTAAATCAGGTCAATTCGGGTTGAATTGGTTACGAGTCTAATCAAAATCAAGTATATATAGAATAATTGATATATACTTGTAAAAGCATGTCTTCTTATCTGTTAATTTTATCATTTAAGTTTAATTTCAATTATCAATTATTCAATATTTTGAATTAAATCATCATTTAGAGACGATAAATCGATAATTTGACACAAATATGATACTATAATACGTGTTAGAATTTGTTATCAAAATTTTATATTGATCTCGTACGAAAAAGTTTATAATGAGAATTATTTGATAAAGAAATAATTTTTATTAAATTTTTTATTTCCAATTATAAATTTAATATTTTTTATTAACTTTTAAAAAATAATACATAACTTTATTTGTTAAGTTTTATTCGTAACATAAGTAATTTTTATATTATTTTTATTATAAACATAATATTATTTCCTTTGTTTTAGTTATTTTCTATTATTTTTATTATAAATCTAATATTTTTATAACAAGTAAGATAAGTAAAATTTATTTATTATTGTTTTCAATCTTACAATTAGATTCTTAATTTTATATTTCTCTTAAACTTTCTATTATTTTATTATAAATCTAACATTTTTAATAAATTATCAATTTTATTTAAATTAATTTATTATTGAAAATACCTTTTAACGTTTAATAATTTTTATTAATTTCAATTTGTTCAGGTTACTTTCGGGTCCGGTTGTTTTCGGACCGAGTTTCTTTCAGTTAGGTTTAATTTCGGTTCGGGTTAATTTCGATTCTGATTGATTTCGGTTTTGGTAAATTTTGGATCGAGTTTGACTCGGATGAGTATAGGCAGACTATCAAATCAAATTTAATTATCATTTTCGGGTTAATATTGAATATTAGATCAAGTAAATCAATTAGGAGGTTTGGGTCAAATTTACCAGGTCTATCATTACATTGCCTTCGCTAGTGTGGACATACCATGTTCTGTACAACTTCAACTTTATTTAAATATTTGAGCTTGGTCTGTCGAGTTTGAGGCAGTCTTCATTAAAAGTAGGATAAATTATGTGTTTATTACCTAAGTTATTAGTTTTGGTCAATTTGAGTATTTAAATTTTTACTTTTATTTTTAATTTTTTAGTTTTTGTTTAATTTTAGTACTACACTGTTAAAGATTTAACGGATAAACTCGTCGATCGATGCGTCTAAATTCGTCGGTCATTGCATCCATCGACCGATGAAGCTTAAACTTTCTAATTCACTCCTTTTAGACCCCTAAATTTATTTCTTCGGAAAATACCTTCATCTCCCCAAATGAATGATGGATTTTTCGATTTCTTCATCTTTTGATCTCCATCGCCAATCGTTCGATGGACCTGAAACTGGACTATGTTGATCGACTCCTCATTCTCTCATGGTCCACCGTTCGAATTGGTCGTCCATCTATCGAAACTATACCCCGTCAATCTATCTGTCAAGTTTTTAACGACAGGGTATTAAAATGAAACAAAAACGAAATATTATATATGGTTTTAAAAAAAATTAAGTGCTAACACGGATCAAAACTGATAATTTAAGTACTAAACACGTAGTTACCCTTAAAAATATAAGAACTAGTTGAACTGATCAGCTAGGTCACCTTTTATTTTGATATATTAATTTCAGCGGCTCTCTCTATTGTAGAATATATGCTGTAAATCAAGTCACCTACTTGAGGCAGTCCACGATATATATATATATATATATTATAAAAGATTGGGAGAGATCATCTAGAATCGAATTCGGGATTATTTACTATATTCGATATGTTCATGTTTTACTATAGAATAAAATGGCATTTAGTTTCGACATAAATAAGATTAATAAATAGGGACAGAGCATAATTTTATGCATACACGAGATTTGGCACGACCATCTTTCTCATACGGAGTTGTTGAAAGTTGTCAAAACGTCAGGCAAGAACATGCATGCATGCACTACTTGTACTCATGCAGCTCGGACTGACCATCGAAACTCGGATCCCACCACTGTTGAATCCCATGAGCTCGTTTGAAATCCGGGGACTTGCTCGAGTTTATAGTGAGATTGGCGGACAGAAGCAGATGCAGAGGTTCCGAATCCCTTTTCAGTAAGGAATTCAGTGTTGCAATCCTCTCGATTTTTCCGGCACGGAACTCCTCCATCTTCTTCCTGTGTTCGAAATAGCCGATATAGCCGGAGCATATGGGATCTGCAGGGTTCACAAACAGGTATGGTACCCATTTAGAGAGTAACATAAATGGACCATCTGGTGGAAGACTCCTATAGTGACCCTTTGCAGTTGCGAGTCCGGCTTTAAGTAAGCTGGTCGTAATGCGAATCCCGTCCTTCAGCTTTCCGTCCTTGATTATTTCGATCGAGGCAGGGAACGGTGGATTGAAGAGGTAAGCTTCAACACTGTAACCCATCTTAGTCACATTCTTCCCAACAAGCAATGAAATAGCTGATCCAAGCGAATGGCCAGCTAACCAAATACGTGAAGTACCCGCAGCAGCATCGATTATACTCCACACAGCCTGCATTGCGAGCTGATAACGAGAGGTTTCATGAAGCCGATTTCGAACACACCGGATATCCAACCTGAGATCACGAGACATAGTGTCGGGCTTATTTATGGTGCCCCGAAACGCAACAACATAATCAGGAGCATTTTGGACCGAATGGTTGCAATCGGAAGTAAAAGGCATGAGTTCATAAACGGCACCGAAAATGGAGTTATCAGCATCATCAACAAGAGGACGGATCAACCGGAAATTGAAGGAGTCCCACCAAGGCGGCGCATGAGCTTGGGAACCTCGGCGATTCAGCTGGCGATCATACTCTAGAATGTACACTCCCCGGACCAAGCTAGCAGCAACTGATCTTCGGTGATTAAAGTTATTCCTACCAAAAGTAACACAAAAGAACATCTCATATATCACTATCAAATGCCCCCAATTCGACAAGGAATCTATCCAATAAAACCTTATCCCAATCGTGTAATGTTCATTCATAGCTACAAGAAGTGATTACCAGTCAACAGTAGTGAGATGTGTAGGCCCCGAGAGGCAAAAAATGTGCCTTTCAGATAACGGTTTCCCTTCCTCTTTCACTTTGTTCTCTTCCATAAATCCTCAAACAAGGGTAATGAATTGCTCTGCATCGAAGTAAAAGAATATTCCCATGGTTAATTCAGTAACCCAGATTCTTTTCTTTTCCCAAAAATAAAGGAAACCCCAAGCTTGAATCTGGTAAGTTTATGAAAAACCCAATCTTTATTTCCCTTTTCTGGGAAAAATCAAATGGAATCCAAGAAAGAACAAGAAGAAAGAGAAGACCCACAATTGGAAAATGGGAATCGTCGAACTTCCGAGACCGATGATTCGAATTCAATTGCATTAAAACACTAAAGTAAACAGAGAGAGAAGGAGGAGTTCGAGAAATTGAAGGGAAATCAATTTACCTCGATGAAAATCAGTGAAGAAATCCAAATTCACCCATTTCTCCTAAGAAATAGAGAGAGTTGGCGTGCCGTTCTTCGATGTTTTCAACATACAAATTGTCAAACTTCCCTTTATATGGCAGAATGTATCCAAGAGCTGAAATAGTCACGGCCTCTAATTAAATTATACTCCAAGAGGAAGTTGCACCGAAAATAACAATTAAAATAAATTATAAAATATTTTGATCTAATTTTGAAAAATAAAATAAAGGACTGTTCAATTTTATAAAATCAAAGTTATTTTTTTATTTATTTAGAAAATAAAAGATGTTGAAGTGAACGTCCTTTGTTATATAAAATTAGAAAATGAAACAAAAAGAAGTTAAAATTTGTAAAACTATGGAATGAAGCGAAAAGAAGTTAAATTTTGAAAAAAATATAAAATAAATTATTTTTAGTATTTTTTTAAAAAACTATCTTAATATTTTAAAAACAAAAATGATAAAATTTAAGTTTTTAGCCCATTTTACACCGTTCAAACCTGTTAACTTTTTTAAAAAAATTTAAGGGTAAACTACAGAATATACTACTAAACTTTAAGCGCTAACTTATCTAGATAATCAAAATTTAAAATTTTGACAATTTAAGTACTAAAGTTTACCTTTAAGTGTAATTATATCATTTCGTTGTTAATGATCTAACGGGACGATGACATGGCAGTCGTGTGTCGTGACACTTCTAACGTGGCTACCTCACCAAAACGAGTTATTTTGGCATGATTGTGTTTGGTGTTTAAAAAAAAACTCAAAATGACGTAGTTTTATTAGTGAAAATTTGGTAAAATTCACCAAAAAAATCTTAAATTCCATAAAATCTCAAAGAAAACTCAAATTCTTGAAAAACCTAAAAAGACCATAAACTCTAAATTGTAATCCCTAAATTCACCCACCATCATTGTCGATAGCATGCTATTGTCGTCGGACAGAAGCCTCCTCCTCTTACTGTAGACGTTATTCTCCATTTTTTCATTGATCAATCGTCGTTCATGGTTCGATTAGAATATTTTACATTCGACGTTTAACGATCAATTAGCACATCGTTCACCAATTTCCAGTGACAACAGAGTGGGGTAACTAGTTGTAAGGGTCCGACAACTAATGGTGGGCAGTGGGCGTTTATTTATTGACGATAATTGGTGAAATTAAGGATTCAATACTTAGGGATTTGGGTTTTGGGGAAATTTAAGAATTTTAGGGGTTTTGAAAATTTATTTATTTATTTATTATAAATCATATATATTATAAAATAATATTAAATAAATGATGTTAATTCAAAATGTTATTTAATATATATATATATATTAGTTTTGTTAAAATTATAATAAGTTTTTAAGTTAGTTTAGGGTTGGTTGCTTTTTATTATGTCCAATAGATCTCTAGTTCAAATATCATGGAAACATTTTGTCCATTAATAAAATAATGTCGTTTTGGCCTTATGAGCATCAAAATAGTCGTGTCAAAATTATGTCATTTTTACAGAGGTAATCATGTCAGCAATATCACGATGCACACTTTTCGTGTCATCGTCCTGTTAAATCGTTAACGGCAGAATGATATAATTGTACTTAAAAGTTAACGTTAATGCTAAAATTGACAAAATTAAAAGTTTGATGGTATAAACGAGTTAGCGCTTAAAGTTTAGCGGTATCTAGGATAGTTTACCATAAATTTCAATGATATTTTATTTTGAAAATAATCGAAATCAACACTGCTCAACTAGATCAAGCTACAAATTGAGGGACATAATACATTAAAAAAACGTTTTTTGTATTTTTTTTATAAATACAAGGTGAATAAAAGATAATATATATTTAAAAAAATTTAATCATTTGAAAACAAATTAATGTGCATATTCCTATATACAAGATGTTTGAACCCAAAACTTCAAGTGATAATAACAAATCTCTTAATTATGAATGTCGAGATAATACCAAAAAATCATAATTAATATTTTATCATATCGTTGTCATCGTTATCAAATATTATATTTTAAAATATTAGTAATAACTGGTAAAATTAAAATTAAATAAGATGTAAGAAATAAAGAGATTTACTACATTTTTATATAAATTTAAAATAGTTAAATCAAAATGAAACCAAAACGTAATATTAGATATGGTTTTGAGAAAGAAACAATAATTGAATGACCAAAATACAATAAAAGTAATAATTGAAATACTAAACATGTAGTTTATCCTTTTTCTTTATAAGAGTATCATAATGATATAATCGTCATTTTCTCTCTTAATGTAAAACGACCAGATTCGAATGAATATAACTTAAAAGGATAAGTTGATATGTTCAAAGCTCTAGACCTCATCATCGAAGAATCGATGAGGTCCTATTCGTTTCTCCTTGATTCATTCTCGACTCCCATTATGAGCATGAATCCACACATAAATTTACGAGGTGCGAAATTAATGAGATATAAAATAAGATAATTAATAAAAATTATATATAAAAAATTTTAAAATTTTCAAAGAATACGATCGCACTCCCTTGATCCATTCCTGACCGGAAGCTTACATTGAACCCAAGTTGTTTTTAGTCGCTAATTAAATTAATAAACATGGTTTTAGCCACACAATCAATCAACTTTATACAATGTTCCAACAAAACATTAATCAATCAATCAACCCCTTCACTCAAATCGCTGGGATTATTCATGGTGTAATGTACCCTCAATAATTCAATTAAAAAAATACTTATATCTCTGAAGATCTCTTCGTATTTAAAAATATTTTTCGAAGGTGAACACACATATTAATTATTAAAATATTTTATGAGTTGGATATAAATAAAATTTCATGATAGACTCTCATAGTAAAATGAACGACTAATATAAAATAATTCAGATTCCAAGATGAACATGTAGCCACCCTAAGTATGCTTTGCATCCGCCACTGTCAATGATTCCTCAAATTAGATACATATTTCAATAGTATTTAAAATATTTTTATTAATATTATGTTTATAATATCTCTAATATTATATTTTAAAGATGATATCTAACAATCTAGCTCATGAGATAAATTTAATCGAGAACATTTGATTAAGATAATGTAAATTTAATTCGAGTTCGAACTTTATTCTTATATGAGAGTTTAAGTTGCGAGCTCATGACAATGGAACTATCATAAATTATTTAAACTCACTCAAATTATGATACTTTGATTATCTAAAAAAAAATGGTTGTCCCTTGTTCCCATATGTAATGGGGTAAGGGGGAGGTAAGATAATAGGCTGCCCCCAACCTTCCGTAAGAGACCTCCGAATTATGAAATACCCTCCATGAGACTCGATCCCACGACCTCAAGGTTAAGAACCTTGTGCCCTACCAACTAAACTGGATGGTCATTTCATCTTACTTTGATTATCTAGAAGTTGAAAAAAAACAAAACTATTATTGATGCTTGCTATAAAATTTGATCATCATATGAGAGTGAGTTTCTAACCCTAAACAAATTTCTTAAAATATATTAAACATTTATTTTTAATAATTAAAAAATTAATTTAAAGTCCAATTATATATTACGATAATAATAAAATACAAGATATATTTTCTTATAACAATAATATTAGAAAAAGAGTTCTATGAATTTTTATACAAATAGGTTTAATTAAATATTAAAAACCTAACTTGTTAAAAAATAGTAGATATTTAAGATAATTTATTAAAATTTGTTTTTAGATAATGTTGTACATCAACCAAATGATATAATTTTATATTTTTATCGAATAAATAAAATAAAATAAATAAAATATTACAATATCTGTTATAACATGTCAAGTAGTATTATATTTTAAAATTTATTAATTTTTTTAAAGGTTTTATAATAAATTTATAGCACATTTCGATAACTGATTTAGAGTTCTTGAATTTAATTTCAGGAAAAGGGTGAAGAAGGGATAGAGAGGGAAAGACTGCTTAGGGTAATCAGATTTTTACAACAATTAATTTTTTAATTAATTTTTAAATATTAAAAAATATGTCAGGTAACATTTTTAATAGATTAACGGTTAAACTTAACTGTCCGTCATGGCTTAACCCATTTTGAATAATAGAATGCAACATTACAACACCAAACTGTAACAAAATAAATATGTCAACCTAGACGTCTAACATTTACAACATTACATTTTTAGGTATCCCGATCATTCTGTTAAGTGACACATGTCACGCTCAAATAGAAAAAAAAGTATAATGTTAGAAACATTATACACTTAAATCGATCGAAACATGTGCCTATCTAAACATAATCTTACTTAAACATTTGACATTGATCTTAGAAAAAAACTAAGAAATTAATGCAACACCAGCAAAACTAACAGAAGGACAATGTAGTGCTGTTATTTAACTCCAATCTCGTGGAAATGAAAGAGAAGAAGCTGATGACAACACATAACTGTACGAGTTTTTCAGACCCTAAACCACATTTAATTAGTAAAAGGTTTAGGGTATAGTTAAACTCAATCAAAACCAAACGATGGAAACAATTATAGGCAAAGATATCATAAACAATACATGAAAACCTCAGCTAAATCCAATAGTTTCGTAGAATTGCAGCTTCAACCAAGTAGGTTCATTCTTAGCTCCACTGCACCTCATCCAAAACTGGATTATATCATCATCGGCTCATCCAGTAATTTCATGTCAATTAAATTAAATTATGTAAAATAGAAAGGCTGAGAGGTTAATCAGCTTCTCAATCAAGAATTCTCTGAAGCAGAACTGACATATTAAGCTGTGTTGTAAATCTTAATAGCCCAAACGTTATTTAGAAAGTACCACTAATAGAAAATGATAAACATAAAACAAAGTACTTAAAACATATCAGCCATACAAATTATCATATCATGTATAAAATATTCTAGCATATTAACATGAATGTCAATGTGGAATACCAAGTATCTATCTATTATCCATCTATCAAATCACCTCTAATAATCGGGGCAAACCTTAAGCCTCAAATCATAAAATCAACTCCTCTATGATGTAGAACTATTGTATAACCGAACAACCTCTCAATGGTTAAAGACTGGTTGTTATTCATAGACTAATAAAAAGAATTATAAGCATACAAAAGAATGACCAAATCTTCAATATAAACAACCATTATATAGCACGAACATAAAGGGCACGAATAACATAATGATTTCACATTTGAAAGAAGCAGTAATGAAACTAGTGTTGTAAATTCAATCAAGCCCCAGGACTAACCATTCGTCATCTTCTAAAACAATCTACCAAGACTACCATCCCCATGAACATGAATTAAGATAAAGAATAAATCAATCTACAGAGTCAGCTGAATTGTGGAAAAATGAATTCATATTAGTGTATGGAGAATTAATCAGGGAAGCAACAATCTATCTACACAATTTACAACAATCTTAGAAAAACGTAAGAAATCCATGCAACACCTGCAAAAATTATCAAAAGAGGAACAATTTAGTGCTGTTATTTAACTCCAATCTCCTGAATATGCAAGAGAAAAAGCTGACGACAACACATAAACTGTACGAGTTTTTCAGACCCTAAACCACATTTAATTAGTAAAAGGTTTACTTTATAGTTAAACTCAATGGAAATGAAAAAATAAAAACAAATCCGGGTGAAAAAAAATCTTGAACAATACTCGAAAACCTCAGCTAAATCCATTAATATCGTAGTATTGCAGCTTCAACCAAGTAGGTTCATTCTTGGCTACACTACACCTCATCCGAAACGGGATTATATCATCATTGGCCCATCCAGTAAAAACAATTAAAACAAATGATGTAAAACAGAAAAGCTCGGAAGTTAAATCAGCTTCTCAATCAAGAATTCTCTGAAGCAGAACCGGCATATTAAGCTGTGTTGTAAATCATCATAGCCCAAAACATTATTAAAATTAAAAAATTGAATCAATCTATTTTGTGTAATTAAAAAATTGTTTTGGATTGGCTCATATCAAGAAATTCAACCATTTTTATCTTCGATATGCTTCATGGATTGCTCTCAGAAGCGCGGATAAAACAAACTTAATCATCGCCAACACCAATTTGAAAAATCAAATCGAAAGAAAAAAAAAGATTTAGCGGGTGATTTTAGAGAATATACCATTATAGGAAACGTCCCCACGTGTAACACCGCCGGATCAAATATACGCCTCGATGACTGGCCTAGTTTCCGGTGGATTCGTCGAGAACAAGCTAAAGGTGTAGTGAGGCAAGAATAAAGTTGGAGATTTAGCCGCCGATTTGACACAGAAGAGCCGGTCGATAAGCGAAAGCTATTCCGCAACACGTGAAACGGCATGAATCTAGCACCAACATTGGGGCTTTGATCTTCACTGATAGAGATTCAGATAAGCCCGGGAGAGTTCGTGCAGATGAAAAATCAAACAGTATCACAAACTATAACATAAATGCTTACAACTTCTAATCTAACGAATACGAAACAATTGAGTGGAGAACAACAAGACGATGAAGCAAAGTACGTGGCTTTGGGAGCTGCTTGTTGAAAGTTGATAGTGTTAAGTGAAGAGGTGAGCTCGAATCATTTATATAGAGAAAAATTTCTTTAGAAACCCTAGATACGTGATTAAAAGTTAAAGACCCTAAACCATTAGTTCGTTTGTGATCTGGGCCTTAAACTTTAGGCCCATAACCTTTATATTTGGGCTCTTCAGCCCAGATAAAGTATAAGTGATAATTCATACATGATTTATACGCAATGCGATTCGTATAAGGAATTTATTTATTTTTTAAAAAAATTGACAATAATTTTATCCGTTTATTAGTTTTTACATTGAGAATTAAAAGTTTAATATTCTAATTTTGCTAATATTTTATGTAATGAAATTAGGGTTGTTCATGGACGGTTAATATTACCGCTTAACTTAAACGGTCGGTTAACCATTATAATGGTTATGAATTTTTTTAACCGTAACCTAACCATTAAAAAACGGTTAATTGTTATTAACCGTTCGATTACAGATTAATTGTAGGTTAACCTATTAAAATTATTTATGTACAAATTTCATTAAATATATATAAATTAGAAATAATAAAAAATTATATTAAATTATTTGTGTAAAGATATAATAAATTAGAAATATATTCGTAAATTTAATTTACTAACGGTTAAACATCATTTGTAACAGTTTAATTAATCGAAATTGTTTAGTATTTACGGTTCGATTAATTAACATATTAAATGTGATGGTTATATCAATTAACGATTACAATTTTTTTAACCCTAAATGAAGTGACTTAAGTTCTATCATATTTTATATGATATGCTTTATTTTTTAAACATGTATGAATTAATAAGTATTTTTAATCAGGTTAATTTGAGCCTAACATTTAACATCAAAACTAAATAATTAGATAAATACTGAAACAATGGATTACTTTAAGTATTTAGTGAAACATTTTAACATTTAAGGATTAATTAAGAATTTAAGGCATAGTTTAAGAGTATTTAATGAAATAAACCCATAATTGATCCGGTGACATTTGAAGAGCCAAGTTATTAATATTTTAAACATGATGCATTTATATTGATATTTAACACTAAATTTTATGGACGAATTATGTTATTTCAGTGATTAAAGGATTGTTAGTATTTTTTAAGGTATCGAGTTCAACTATCGTGAATGCTAAAATTATAAACATTTATCATTAAATGATTTAAATTTTTTAAACATATATCACCTTGTATTTACTATAAAATCATTAAAAACACTTAAATATATTATTAGACTAATAAAAATATTTTATTAATATGATATTAATACCTTTTTATTAGTTTGATTCGAACCCAGTTTGCTCAATTCGTAATCGTCAAGATTTAAACTCTTAACTTTGCTTAAGAGATATAGTACCTCATCCGACTAGACCAACTGATTGTTTATAGATTTTTAATTATTTGACGATATACGTTTTTATACTTTTATAGGCATCGTAACTAAATCTAAGATCTTAAAATGGCTGTCCCTTTTTCCCATATATATGGGATAGGGGGAGGTAAGATAGTAGGCTACCCCCAACACTAAATTGAGAGCAGCTTCCGTAAGAGACCTCCGAATTATGAAATACCCTCCGTGGGACTCGATCCCACGATCTCAAGGTTAAGAACCTTGTACTCTACCAACTGAGCTGGATGATTACAAAAATCTCTTAACCTAAGTTGTTTGATTATTAAAATATATTAAAGATGATTAAAATATAAGAATAAGTCTTTTGATCACTTAATATTTAATAATGAAAATGATAATTTGAGTATGACTAAGGACACTCTGTGTACTTTACCCGTTTTAAAAGGGTTATTTAGCCAAATGGCACAGATTCCAGATCGCCGGCACCAGCCCAAAACATCACTCTGTTCCAGTCTTGTCTGTTAGTTTGAGTTAAAATTTGTTGATTTTTTCAAAAACTCCGAAGGTGATGGTTAAAGGAGATAATATAAGAATCCGATAGTGTGTGGATGAATCCCTTGTCGCCGGCAAAACTCTAAACATAATCTTTATATAATCTCAAACCACTTATCATCTACTTTGCCGCCACTTTCAAATGTTTGTTCTTCTTCTCATCTTTTTCCATCTTCGATTCCCGGTTTTCTCTGTAATCAATTGGGGAAGTTTCCCAAAACCATGAACAACGCCGATGAGCCACTCGTATCGGAGCGACCCGTTAAGCCCCGACGATCGAAATCTCGTGAGGTTGCCTCTCGGTTCCTTTCCTCGCCTTCATCGATACCCAACCATGATTCCGGCCACCACTCTCCGAATAAAGCTTTATCCCCTCTCCGACGTAAGTCGACCTCCGTGGATACCAGAAAGCAGCACCGCAGCCTTGATGACCCTTCTGGTGGGTTACTTGGAGATCTTTGGCCTTCTTCCACCTCCACTACTAACTCTTCTTCTTCTTCAAACTCGAAAAAGCTTGATACTTTGGCCGATTATCTTGGAAACGAGAGGCTGAAAGATTTCATAGAGAAGAAAAGCTACGAGAAAAGAACAAATCCCCAACCCTTTTCACTCACCAAGCAAACGAGTCACACTGAGTTCAGTAGGTTTACTGAGAACGACAAGGAAGTTAGTGCGAAAGAAAATCATAGGCCGTCCATGGGTGGATCTATGAGGTATACGACGAAACTGGGTTTTGCGAGAAAATCGTCGTCGTCATCTTCCTCGACATCGTCTTCTTCTTCTACGAATATTGTGCCCGGGATATTCTGTTGACGAGAATGCTCTTTATAAAAAATCGGCATCGTCGTCTTCTCAGAGGAAACCGGATTTTTTGACCGATAATTGTGTTATTGATTCTGAAGGGGAGATTAGTGATCAATGTTCGGCCTCGAAAATTGATTCTCCGGCTTTAACCATAAATAATTCTTCGCCGAGTTCGAGAAAATCTGGGATAGAGGTATCTTCCAAGTATTTGAAAGAGGTGGCAACGAGGAATAGATCAAGAGGAATTACTTGGGATTCAAGTAATCCCCATCCGGTGTCAGCTGATGGTTCTCTTAAGATGAATAAAAAGTTCGCCATTAAAAATGTCATACGGAGGACTAATTCGCAAGGTGCTTCGACGTCACAGTGGGCGTTGTCGCCAGGGCGGTCGGGGTCACCTACCATGTCGGTTGAAAACAAGGGCAAACTGTTGTCGCTTTTTGAACTTGAAACCGCCTACTAGTCCTTCTAGGACCAAAGGTGTGGAGAAATTCTTGAACCTGGGATTAATGGGTTTGTTCAAGAGTAAGAAGTCATCTGCTCTACAACCGGGTTCAGGTTATGTCAAAAGTGTCCATCAACTACGATTGATCCATAACCACTTGATTCAATGGCGGTATGCAAACGCTAAAGCCATGCCGTGAACAGTCGCATAAACAATCAAGTTCAGGTATGTATGTATGCCTTGTTGTTATCACACCAGCTAAAACTTAATCCTTTATCGATTTTTGCAGAACTCTCTGTTATATGGGTGGAATAGTGTTACGAAACTGCAACATTCAGTGCTACAAAAGAAATTAAAGCTTCAAAAGGAGAAGCTTGAGATGAAGTTGGACTTTATACTTCAATCTCAAGTCAGTGCCTGCTAAATCAGCTTTAATCATACTTACAATAGAATGTTTATATAATTATGCTCTAAATCGAATTCGTTAATCGTATATGCAGATGAAGGCATTGGAATCCTGGGCAGATACGGAAAGGCAACACTCATCAGCCATTTCCATGACTAAAGAATGTCTGCATGCTGTTGTTTGCAAAATGCCTCTTGTGGAAGGAGCACAGGCCGACACACAATCAGCTTCGATGGCACTTCGACATGCATCCGATCTCACCGCATCCATCAAGTCGATGCTAACTGCTTCCTCACCAGGGGTATGGAGATGTTTCACATTTTCATATATGCTAAACTAGTGATCTGTGTAGCTTTCTAAATGACCCTTACCCTCCAAATACTATCTCAGATTGAGAAGACCGTGTCATTAGTTTCGGAATTAGCAGAGGTGGTTACACAGGAAAAGCTATTGCTAGAGGAGTGCATCGAACTTTTCAGGATGA